CTCACATTTGATTTTAGTTAGATTTTTATAATAAATAAATTACTACTGAGAAAATTAAATAAAAAAATACAACAATAAATTTTTGACACATCTATAAAAGTGCAATTTGTTAGAAAATTTTTTTTTTTAATAATTTATTTGTAGACAAAATATAAACAAGTATTATTTAATTATTAAATTAATAAATATTGAACTTTTTTAATTAAATTAAAAATTATATATGATTGTTGAAAAGAAAATAAAATTTCCGATTTTTAATTTCAAAAATTGAATTTATAGTTCAAAATTTAATTATAAAAAAAAAATTTATTACTCTAAAAGAAGAAATAAATATTAAATTCTTTGAAGATTGTCTTCTTGTAAACAATGGAAAATAATTTAGTTGAATAAAATTAGCTTTAGTAATCAATAGATTTTTAATTAATTTAATTATTCTTGCAGCCAATTATGGGAATCACCATATACCTGAACACCTGCAAAGCGGTGGCGGTGCTAGCGAACTCGGTAACAATGAGAATGACCTGCGGGTAAGCAACACCGCACCAACAGATAGTTACATGACACCTGCCCACTACTCCGGGTACGATGATCCTTCAGAGTACCACAATTTACCCACGGAGCATGGAAATCCTCACACTTATAATCTTGACAACCCCTCGGAATTTTATGGTGCTGGTGGGATTCAGCTAGAGCCTAAATACCAACCACCTCCATTTAAAAATTATCCAAGAGGTAATATTAATTTATTATTAAATTTTTTATACTTAATTTTATCAATAAATAATTAAATTATTAACTAAGTAAATAAATTATTAATTAAATAAATAAATTATTAATTGGCTTGGCTTAATATTAAAATTTTAACATTTAAATAATTTATTAATTAACAAATTTGAAAAAATTTTAACTTAAAATTGATTTAATTTTATTATTTAAAAAAAATTTCACTTCGCTTATTATTACAAATTTAATTTTTAATTAAATTATTAATTAACAAATTAAAAAAAAAATTAACCAGAAATTTAAACATAAAATTAATTTAATTTTATTATTTAAAAAAAATTTCACTTGGCTTGATATTAAATTTTTGATATTTAAATAATTTATTAATTAATAAATAAAAAAAAATTTTTAAGTAAAATTGATTTAATTTTATTATTTAAAAAAAAAATTCGCTTGGCTTATTATTAAAAATTTAATTTTTAAATAAATTATTAATTAATTAAATAAATAAAATTATTTTTTTAGGACGGTATCATGAAGGATACAACGAAAATTATGGTCAATATGACACAACGCCTTTCCAAACCGTACCAGGAAGTGGGAACGCAAATTCTAGCAGTGGAAGTACTGTTGGCAATGACCAATGGTCAGTTGGTCCTCTTGGAGAGCATCTTTCTCATCACCCAGCATTCCTATCAGGAATTGGTCCCCGTGACTCTTCAAACCCTCATCATCCAGCTAGTATTGGAAGTAATTCTGACCAGAAGCCATTGTTACAAAGTGCAATGTTAGCCGGATACACTGGTAATTATTATTTAAATGATTGTTTCAATTAACTAAGAGCGGATTTACTTATTGCTTAGATGATTTTTAATTTTATTTATTTTTTTTTGTTTGATAGGTGGAGGACCTTGCTTCACCGGATCAGGTCCAATTCAACTATGGCAATTTTTATTAGAGTTATTAACTGATAAATCGTGCCAAGGTTTCATATCATGGACTGGAGATGGCTGGGAGTTCAAACTTACCGACCCTGACGAGGTAGCTCGTCGCTGGGGTATTCGTAAGAACAAGCCCAAGATGAACTACGAGAAACTTAGTCGTGGTCTTCGGTACTATTATGATAAGAATATTATTCATAAAACTGCTGGCAAGCGATATGTTTATCGTTTTGTATGTGATTTACAAAGTCTTTTAGGGTGAGTTTTATTTAAAAGTACTGTTACAAAATATTTTAGAATTACAATAATTTTAAAAAATTATTTGGTAAAATTAAATTTTAAATTCTTTTATTGAATATTAGTATAAAAAAAAATTTTTTTTGATAATTTTTTATTTGGTAAATTGCAATGTACTTTCTTGAAAATTGACATTTTTAAAGATATAAGCTCATTAAGATGTTACACTCATCGAGACCTTTCATTTGAGTACCCACATGCATTTTCATATATTTTTCATATATATATATATATAAAATATATGAAAAATTGATGTGGGTACTCAAATGAAAGGTCTCGATGAGTGTAATGTCAGAGTGAGCTTATATCTTTAAAAATGTCAATATTTTACAAGATAAAAGGTAATTTCTTAATTATTGACATTTTTAAAGATATAAGCTCATTATAATGTTACACTCATCGAGACCTTTCATTTGAGTACCCACATGCATTTTCATATATTTTTCATATATACATATGTAATATATATAAATATATGAAAAATTGATGTGGGTACTCAAATGAAAGGTCTCGATGAGTGTAACATCAGGATGAGCTTATATCTTTAAAAATGTCAATAGTTCACAAGATACAAGGTCATTTCTTAATTATGTATCTAGAGATAGAGCATTTTTGAATGTAGCTTAAATATTTATTATAGTAAATTATTGCATTGGATTTTGATTTTCAGATGATTTAATTTATCAAATTTTAAAATCAAAATTTTATTTTAATAATAAAATAAAATTAATCTAAAATTACTAAAAAAATTCCTTTAAAAAAAATTTCTTCCTAACTTCATTCAAGAACCATGAAGCATTCTCTGCAAAAATAAAACTAACTTCAAAAAATATCATCCTATATTCTTCACCATAAATAAAAAAAAAAAAAAAAACTACCAACTAACTTTTTATTGTTTAGTTAGATACGACTGAGGTTTTATAGCGCACCTGTGCAACCGGCTGAAGGATACGCGCGACGTTCGCGTGGTGCCTCTTGGAGAAGGGAGGAAGAAAACGCGTCCAAGAGTGTACCAGTTTAAGTGGGGATACTGGCCACGCGATCGAGATTTATTTATAAGTTGAGCTTGCCGTTCCCGATATATATTCTTCCTTCTCGGTCATTACATCCTCAGCATCATCTTCCTCATCCTCTATCTTTTTCTTCATCAGTGAGTCTT